ATACAGGGTACTTATTATATGTTATAGTTTGGATTCCTAAAGCTTTTAGTCTACTATCCCATCATTCAAAGGTGGTTTTCACTATAAGTAATGTTTTTTTCTTTTTGGACGGACACAATAATTTACATTTTTTTTACTATGTTCAATCTGAATTTACTTTAAAATAAAAAAAATCTATATTGATTCTGACTCTTCTACATCCAACTCACATGTTTGTCATTGCTTTGAGAAAAAAGATTACTAATTTACCGCTTTTAGAAGTGAAGTTATGGTCATTTGTTCTGGGAATGTCATTTTCGAGCCTGAGACCTGGAAAACAGGCTCGGGGCTTAACAGGTTAATAATCCGCTACGGAGGATAGAAAGTTGTCTTTATAACTTTGCTGCCCCACAATTCCCGGCTGTGACTGGATTTCTCACACAGCTGGTTACTCTGCTGAGGTATAACTGTTCAGTCCCCTGGTGCTCTCTTTATTGCAGCTAAAATATAGATTCATAAAGTTCTCATTTGTTGTCAGACAACTCAACAAGTATACATTTCTTATGAAGTCGCAGCTCATAAACAGCACACATTAATCAGCAGCCATTCCCACACTGCTGTGATACAAATTGTATTTCATAATGCCAATGCAGTCTGACAAAACCAACATAAATCCATGTTAATAACCAACTTATATCCAGCTTGATAAGCTGCTTTGTATTTAGCTTTGTTGGCTTTTGAAAGAACAATCGCTGAAAATTAGGTGACTAAAGGATTTCTTCTTAACTTAACTGGCACAAAACAGTAATGGTAATCGGGAAAAAATAAAGTGAAAACCTGCAGAAACCAGAAAACATGTCCAGTTGAACCACCAAAAGCAGATGGCTGTACCAAATTGAACTGGTTAATGGGAACAACATTGTGTGTCCACCCAATCCTGCACATAATGGTGTGAATGTAACTAAATTGATAAACCTCAACATCAGCACAAAGCAAGGCATGTACCAATAAACCTAAAACAGTCAATGGGTGGATAGATTAAGAATTAGGATGTTTCATAGTTCTGAAAATTAGCACTGGAGCTGTTGAAGGTTTGTGTTAGGATCAATATGCTTTAAAAGTGTGTTGCTAAACTGACAGGATTTTGTTTAGAAAACAATTTACTAAAGTGGCCGTCCTAAATATTGAACCATTCTCAAAGCACTGGAGCAAAAAGTATTTGGCACTGACAATGATGTGCACATCTGCAACCATAGCATTTACCATATTTTAAGTTTGTACTGATCTTTGTATTTACAAAGCAAACACATATACTATGACTCCAGACTTTTCAGATGAGGACTGTAGCTGCAAGGGGACATTTTAGAAGATGTTTCTCTAAATTTGAGTCTGAGCCAGGAAGACGAGTGAACCTGGCTGCTGCCCAATTCAACCAGCATCTGAGATCCATGTGTGGACCTACTCGCATTTTCTCTCTAGTCAGGGGAGTCATTTGGCTTTGTGACACATGCCCAAGTGAGCTTGCCAAGTACTCTCAGGCGTGCGTGAGTCATTCTTAGTTTAACAATCCATGGTCGGCTCCTCGCTTGGTTGGAGGAACCAGGACCTCCAAACATGGCTGCGATGGTTTTCTGGAAAGTACATCTCCTGGCTGCATCTCACTTCTCTTAAATTCAATCCTTGCGTCCCTCACTTGCATCTTTACCACGAGAAGGGAGAAGAAGCAGGGAAATTAGTTTTAAGAGCAATGGGACGTCCTTTCCTCCGGAGCGTCACGTGAAGCGACGTCCGTTTGTGATGACGCCACACAGCTGATCGTCTGACAGCAGCCAACTCTGTCCCCGTTTTTTTCACAAACACCCCCGCCTCTGTTAGTACACATTTACTGACATTAACATTTGGATCATCTGTTGTAGACCCAAATAAATGAAATAAAATAAAAACTAATTCTCAAAAAAGATAAACGCCATTCTTAAAATGTATAAACGAGCAATAGTTAATAGATTAATATTGATTTGAGTGCACAAAAGAATGAAAATTATTGAGAGAAGAAAAAGAGATATGTTATCTATCAAAACCCAGATTAACATTCATTGGATGTTTGTTGTTCAGATATATCACATATTTTTAACTAAATGATACATTAATTGAAACAAAACATTGTATAAACTGAGGAGTGAGTCCCGTGAGAAAAAAAAACCGGTTCCGAACTAGAAGAGCGCAAGCACGGAGCTAGAACGGGAACCGCGTTGGTGTGAAAGGGGCATAAGGGGCCAGTATAGTTCCTTTCAACAACTATCTTGGGCCCAATCTCCCTGTGCAAATTAGCGAAGCTTTGGGGATTTCTGGCTTTGCATTCCATAATGCTGCAGAGACTGAGCGCCTCACAAAGCCTGACTGCAGCAAATTCCACACAATGGAACTCCACTTTCCCTCCCTGACTTACTAACACTGTTACTCACTCAGACCAGGCCACTGTTCTGGGCCGTGAAGAGGGTGAGGGGTAAAAGACATTAAGACATTTAGAGTTTTAGACCATGCAGAGCCCAGAGGAGTCTGCCACAGAAATGTGTGTGCTTATCACAGCCATAGCAAAACCATGCTGTGCGATCAGTTATACAACCTGGTGACACTGGGTAATCAACCCCCACTGAATTGACTCGGCCATTCTGCACCAACAAATAGCCGATTCCACTCAAGATCTGAACACTCATTCCATTAATACTGCCATTGGTTCTCCCAACACACACAGCTACTGGTCTAAGGCTAGCCAAAGATTAAACACAAACTTATCTTTACATTTCTGGGTGATGTTTTCAGGGTACATTGTTGAAGTTTCTTTTTGTTTGTTACGTCCAAAACAGCACCATAAAAAGGACAAAAATATATTAGAAAATCCAAAAGTAAAAAGCCAATATGTAACCTGCTAAAGTAATACCAGTTCAAATAAACAGTTGGTATTTGATGTTGGCAACACAGTGCTAATGTAAAGTAATCATTTTTCAAACTCTAGCAAATCCCTGGGAAGATATGCAGCAATGTCATTACAGAGAGGAAACGCAATTTACTAAAATGCCTCAAACATAAAGTCCTTTGAGAAAACAGCTGAAAAACAAATGTAGGCCACAGAGAACAAAAACAACTGGGGAAAAAAACGTCCATGTTTCTTCGTCCAAGTGTCATGTAGAAAAGCTCTTGGCAAAAGGCCCACATGCAGTAATATGTCTGAGCCAATACTTTTTATTCGCTACTGCAGGCCCAGGAAACAGAATGAGATGTTTAGAAGTTAAAGATAATTATTGTTTGAAAAAAAGTGTCATTATCTATCATAAAAATGCATACTTTAAGTTTATAGTATAGATTCAACATTGATTTATTTTCTAATACACTCAACAGTTTTCCAGTCTATTGAAATATAAGCTCAGTAACCTAAACTAAAGGAGGGAAACTAACTTTGTTGTTGCTGAGGTTAACTTCAACAATACAGCACACAGCTATAGGTCAAGTGTCTATACAACAACAAACCCTCATTCACTTTGACTTAATCCTGCAAAGCTCTCAGGGTCTGAAGGGAGATCTTCAACCCTCAAGACTGCTACCTTAGCGGTTAAAATCTAACGTTAAGAGAAAACCAGTGGTGTGTTGCACATTTAATACAGCAGAATGAGGGAAGGCTGGGTAGGAACTAAATTCATGTCCTGACATGAGCCGAGCGGGAAAAAGCGACAAGTGGCTGCTGCTTCAAAGCTCAGCATGAAAGCTTCTGGAAAACCACAACATGTTCTCCTGCTGCGATCAGCCCTCTAACACATTCAGACACATCCTACAGAAGACCTAAACAATCCTTCAATCGCTGTGGCGAAGTGGCAGACTTTTATCTTTCCTTTTGGGGTATCTGGGCAGGGCTGCACCATGGGCTACTTTCAAGGCTGTGGGCTGACCCCAAATGACAAGAGGGCAAGGATACTTCATGCTACAGTGGTACAGACTGGCTGAGTTGCCCCTTTGTCCCCCTGCCAACAGGCTGAATGAAGCTATTTATAGGTCCATGCATTATGAACTGAAATGCACAACAAGATAGCAGGGTCAAATTAAAGACAAAGGATGTCACCTATATGGAAGAGTGAACAGATCTGCAGCTTTGTGTTCTCTCATTGCAGTTCTCAGAAACTGTGCCCGGCTAGATCAAAAAGGAAATTGTTTAGTTGGTAGACTGTAACAGAGTGCTCCTGACAACCTGGACACATTCACAAGTGCTGTCAAGTGAGAAGTATTTCCTCCCTTTCATGTCAGAGGGAAAGTCAAACATGGGAGTTAAACCTGAGCAACACAACTTCATCCAAGAACAGTAATAACTTTTCTGACTACCAAGTCACAATGTAGTAGAAAGATCCATTGTAAAAGAAGAAAGCCTATTGGGATTTCTTCTCCTGGAAATTAAGCACATACTTCCCCAAATATCACAACACACCCAATGAAATCTGCAGACTAGGGATGGTGGTTTTAATCAAACGCAACAGAAATCCATTTCTCATTAAATAGAATCCATATCTTTAGAATTCCTCTATACATGTCACCATAGAGATGTTAACACTTGCTGAAGCTCAGGAACCTCTCTGGAAGAGTCTGACCCTCCACATTGCTTGCGGCTGACTTCACCAGCTGTGTGACCCTAAAAACCCTGTTCATTAACCTCTACAGCCAACAGCTGAAATCACTGGCAGGTGTCCTAACTTAGTGAAAGACATTGCAAAAACCTGTGCACTACAACAGGAAATATACGAGTACCACAACCCTTTGTTTAAAACTAAACTGAAATCGATGATTAAACTTTTTTTAAAGTTACTTTCAACACTGAGATTAACCAATGCAAAGACTATAAACTGTTTTAACTTGACACCACAGGTATCAAACGTGAATGAAAATCCCAGGCTTTTAGCATTCATTGCATTCCCTCCCGTCCGGTGTGCCCAGAGGGCTGGTTCCCGTTAGATTTAAGGAGAAAAAGCTAGGCTACTTACAGGATGGTAGTCTGGAGAGAAACTGCTGGTACGGTTTCCAAGTTGAGATGCATACATCTCACGGTGGTTCGGAAACACAAACAGCGACTCGGACAACTAAGTACAAACTGTGGTCCGCTCGCGAGCAATAACAAAGCAACCGTGAGGAGCCACGGAGAAAAGAGCTGGCCAGCCCGCAGCGCCATTACTAGCAGTGAGCCGAGCCGAGCACAGACCGCCAGCTGCCCTCTCAAACAGACACACACAGAGAGAGGGAGCTGGGAGAGGGAGAGGGAGACGGGGAGAGAGAGTGCAGTCTATCACAATCCCAGACAAGTGAAGTCCAATAGAGAGCTGAGTAAATGAGCAGAGGTAATACAAGTACTCAGATCTTGCACCTAAGTCAAAGTAGAACTACCAGAGTGTAGAAAGTCCTGCATTGAAAAGGTAACTCAAGTAACAGCACAATAGTATTACCATCAAAATATACTCAAAGTAGCAGAAGTAGACGTATTTATGTTGCAGATTGGCCCATTTCAGAATCATACATATTATATGTTTTTATTATAATGATTGATGCATTAAAGTGTTATCACAGCTGGTAAAGGTTCAGCTATTTTTAATCACTTTGTTTGCATATTAGCTTGTGGATTGACTCCAGGTGTAACTAAAGTCTTATTAAGGTGTTGATTATATTTCACATCATAAATCCCAATCTACAAAGTAACTTAAGGTAATACATAAATGCATTTGAGTAAAAGTACACCATTAACCTCTGAACTGTAGTGGGGTAGAAGTACAAAGTAGCAACAAAATTGAAATACTCAAGTAAAGTACAACTCCCTCAAAATTGTACCTAAGGACAGTTCTTGAGTAAATCTACTTAGTTACTTTACACCACTGGTTGTGCCAGTGCAAGGTAGATTTTCAGTTGCTTATAGCTAGCAAGTAGTAGCCTGGAGTTGAAAGGGAAGATGTAATCGAGTGTATAAAGTTATGATAAGATTAAAGAAAAAAGTTTAGTACAAAACATAGCCTACGATAATGAAGTCATTATCGAGCCAGCAAGCACATACGTTACAGTAGGGCCCTGCTCTTGTTACATTAAAAGCAGCCATTATTTATAATATTAAAAATGTTAGGAAAGTTACACCTGGGCTTGTTCTGTCATGTTGAAATGCCTGCCTTGGGAGAGTGTATGTTTAAATGGGAAATTATGACAGATTAGCTAACTAGCTTAGTTTAGTCAGAGACGGTTTGGTTTAGCTATAGAGCCTATTTGTTTGAGTTTAAAGGGCCCCTGTGGCTGCAGCAGGGCCCTCCTATTAGACCACTTGTCTATAACCAAGCTATAATAGGCTAATGTGGGGTTTTTCTGTCAAGAAAGCACTTAATATTTGTAGCGCAGTTAGAAAAGTAACGGTAGCTGAACTAAGTAATAGCATGACAGCAAGCCAAAACAAAAGGTAAAGCATTGGGTCAGCATTATTTTAGTCAGAAAATATCCATTGCAGAACAGTCTAATTCACATTTTAGTTTTTTACATGACTGAAAATGAAATTGGCTTACCATTCTCTCGACGAACAACTGACTAATAATTACTGTGTTCTAACCGTCGGCTAATTAGCATGTTGATTAGTTACAGGTGTGCATAATTGGTTAGGCTACTGTACATTGGCTCTGGTGCACCAATCAGAAGCGAAAACGGGAACATGCATGTATGGCATGATGGAACTAGATGTTCAACAATTGCGTCACTCACAAAAATTGGTCTACCACCATTTTTCTTTACCACATTAAAGGTCACCTATCATGCTATTTTTAGGCAATAGCATAGGTCTCAGATATGTAAAAAAAAATGTCTATGAAGTGTTTTGCTCAAAATACCAAACAGATCACCCATTCTAGCCATGCCTCATATCCCTCCATTTCACTTCCTGTTTCAAAAATGCTGATTTGGGGTATAAAGCTTTAAAAAACAAAAAAAATTGATAAAAAGAAAGGAGGGGGCTGAGCTCTGGGCTACTGGCAGATACTGTGGTGATGAAACACCATATCATGGATTATCAAGGATTATTTCTGAAACAGTATGCAGCTCAAAGGCTTTCTCTCTTGCCGGTTATACCACAAGGTGAGTTCCTTTTTATTTCCTGCTTCTTCACACACATGCTCTCCAGTACAGGTTAGCTCTGAGTGTTAGCGATGCTAATGCAAACAAGCACCGACCATATTACGTCCAAAACAGTCGGGCATTGTTTCTGATAGCAACATTTCTGATAGGGCCGTGGGTGTAAAGCCAGCATACATTTCCGATATTACGTCATATCGGACGCAAATCTGGATCAGCTCCGTTGTAGCCCCGTTTTTAGAGATTTGGGTACGGAGGAAAAGAGAGAGGGTTTTATTTTCTGACGCTGCGTGCAGGGGCGGATTTATGATTGTAGGAAATCCGGCCTTAAAATTGCTTTAAGTGAAACATCCGGGGCTTTTCAGAAAACATCCGGGGCTTGAGCCCAAGTAGCCACCCCCTAGCACCGCCACTGGCTGCGTGAGTTCCCCGACACACTGGGGACACATATTTATGTATAAAAGACATCAAAAAGTGCATTTTGCATGATAGGTCCCCTTTAAGATCTATAAAAGACTCAACCTACAGCATTAGCACATCACAGCGTTAATTTGATAATAGTTTGGGTTTGCTGCCATCTGCTGGTTATTATAGAAATAACACATTAATACATAAAGGCACATTTCTCAGGCAGAGACACCATACACATTAATGATTTGATGTGTCATCATCATACGAACTGATGAACATATGATAGAGCTCCTCTCCAGAAGCTTTTATTTACAACCTATAAGTAAACTGTTTGTTTAATGTAGGCCTCTATTCAGTCGATTGGTCTATTATCTCAAATGGAAACGGGTAGACTGGGTGTGGGTGGGCGAGGTAGTTGTGTCTGCTGTTGCTGGCATGCTGCTGACTGTACTATTGTTAGCATTTCCACCTTTAACAATGCTGTCCCATTGCTATTTCCACAGCCTGATGGCCTGGAGGCACCGTTGAACAGTGGAAGCATTGTTTTATAATATTCTATTGAGTTGGGTTTTTCATTTGGTGGGATCTCTAACGGACATATTTGATTCTATCAATGTGCATTGGAGCATTTTCTTCTCACAAAGGCCATTATTGCTCTCTATGCATTCCAAGTATGCAGAAAGTACATCCAAGTAAATCCAAAACAAAGGCTCTTTTTAAAGCACTAAGACCTTCTTGTTCCAATTTGATGTCAACCTTAAAGTGAAATCCAAATTCAAAACATATTCTAAAAAGAAAGGGGTGAGCATATTTTTTGCTGTATAATTGTCAATGTATGTATAGTATCCATTATTCAAGCTCCTTAATGTGTCCCACACCAAGAAGAAAAGAGAAAGAAAGAAGAAAATCATATTAACAAATTACAGAGAGAGTAAAAATGTAAACCTTGTCTCCAGGCTGAGTTGTCAGGTTTAGACTTGGAGGCTCATGGGAATCTGACGCGTTGACTGAAATCCCCATGCCATGTCAAATATTTAACTTTAATTTTGTTAATATCATATGCGGATGTGAGAGCTGAGGCTATTTGAAAGCTACAGTGCAGACGAGAGACCAACAACACCAACACACAGCACTACTGTATATCAAGAGAAGAAAGTGTTATACAAGACATTGTCCTTGAAATAACTAGTTAATGTCAATGTTGCTATCTAAAAATAAACATGGAGCAAATGTGTAAGTGTCCAATTTAAGAATTTAAAATGTAACCAGAAGAAAAGTTCCCTCCTGCCCAGTTAGTAGTAGTATTGGTTAAAGATGAACACATTACTGCAACATCCATGGTTTTGTCTTGCTGCTGGGAAACTGTCTTACATGTCACACAACTCTCACAAAATACACTACTATGAAACATGTTTAAACTGGAGTGGCAGAGAGACAGAGAGAGAAGGAAAATATCAGGGACAGAGGCGTGTAGCCTTCTGTAATTCCTCCATTGTGGATTAGATTATCTTGGCTAAATGACAAATTGAGTTGTCTGCTTCAGAATGTTAATTAATGAGCCGGGCACACAGACGTATTTCAATAAAAAAAGTGTGTAAAATTAAAGTCTGCTTTAATTGTTTAGCACTGCTCCAACAGTGATTAATAGCAGCAGAGGGGCTTTTGAGGTTAGTTTGCAAATCAGTGGTTTCATTCCAATTCCCTTTTAATTGTGGGAAATGAACCTGCTTTTCATCAAGTCACAGTAATGGATCATCTCTGATAGATGCATAGTGTAAGGTACGCCCTGGTGTAGTTTGCTGACATCTGCTGGTGAAGTGTGAGTAACAGTTAAACCCTCTGTGATATACTACTGAGCAGTTTAAACAGGCCCTATTACAGTCCTATTCAGGTTCATATTTTCCATTGTTTTACATAGCGATGTCACCATGTTACATAAGTACACATAGGAGTCCAATGGAGGTGTTTCAGGCAGGGGGGGGGAGAGTGTGGGAGAGAAACTCCCTCTGGAGGGAACACAGGGATTTTAGCCTTTGCAGACCATTTACATGCACAAAAACCTACACAACACACGACAGCAAAGGAAAACCCAATTAAGCATAAAAGGGCCTCTTTAAGAATGAATATGAAGATGGGTTCTGCAGTATCTGCCTGTAATAAACACACACAATACATCATTTTACAGGCCTCTGGCAACACATTTTTTTCTTTATTCAGAGTAAGATGTGTCAACATCCAGCATGACAAAAATTGTACAAAGTTCACAATTTATAAATGAAATATCACAGCAACTTGTGATCTCACACATTTATAGCAAAATTAAAATGTCAACAAATCCATGCTGTGTAGTACAAAAATAAATCAAACTTCAGTTCCACAGAGAGCACAATAGTTTATACAAAATCCTGTCTTTGATAATGGTCACTGAAAACAATCCCAAAAAAGGAATTGGCTCAAACTAAATAATAAACTCTGATGAATCCACAATAGTTGTATATGAAAAGTCAGCTTTCTAAATATGTGACAACCTTTTTGTGTTCCCTATAGATAGTCACAGATATCTCTATTCAGATTTGTTATTTATGTACCAACATCAGATGAGCAGCCGGTTTGTGCTTTAAAATCCATTTCCCTTTTTACTGATAATGAGAATTAATTCAAAAACTGGTACTAGCTATTACTCTACTGAAGCATTACTATATTGGCAAAAA